TAATATACTTCTGTAGGAGTTGCATACTTGTATTAGTATCAGTGCTTCTCTATGTTTCTTAACATATATGTTTGAAAACTATATATGCGCCCGCACAACATTCTTTTTGACTTCAATTTCTACTCTATAGGGTTTGAGGCCTACCTTACCAAAGAATACTCATCCAAAGCTTGATGAGCTGCTGCACAAGTGTTGGCAACAAGATCGAGCTGCTAGGCCTGACTTCTCAGAAATATTGGAGATACTACAGCTTATTGCTAAAGAGGTTCATCATCTAAGCCTAGGATTCTGTTCCTAAATTCCAAAACTTCTTTGACATGATGGTTTTGAAACTATCAAACAGGTCGAAGATGAATACTGCCGTAAGGATAAGTCATCAGGTGGATTTCTTTCTGTTCTCCGACGTGGCCACTGAAACTTCATTTGATCAAAATGTAGGTACGATCTCATCATCGGCAATTTCCAGCCATAGATAGAGATAGTACCTTAAAACTGTACAATGTTCAAATTTCATGGTTTGTTTTTCCTGGTTCTTAATTTTTATGCTTTTAATTCTTTTCTCTGTGTTTTTGTTATTTGTTACCACTTCGTAAGGTGGAATGTGATGAGTAGGAGGACTCTTGTTTTTTTGTCGTCTAACAATTCATTTCAGTATGTTAGACTTAAATATATTCTTTAATCTTGCCACTTAGAAAGGATTTTATTTTTTTTATTTGTGCCAATTTCATAGTTTACGGGATTGATTAGATATATATTTGTGAAAAACTCAATGTTATTGCTCAAAATTTTGCAGGAAAAATAGAAAGAGAAAAAGAGAGACACAGAATAGCGTCAAAACAGTCAACATCATTAAACCATGAGATCTAAATCTTGGAAATCATGTCAGGAACTTAATGACTTGGCAATCGAGAAAGAACGGAACCCGTAAAAGAGATGGGGGTTCACCACCATGTCCGTCGATGTCTACTCGTAGCGGCCGCGAAGATTAGGGGACACCCACCAAGTCGCGTCCGACCCGTCAGACCGCCACTCGAACCTTTGCCGCTCAGCCTGGTTCGAATCGGCGATGACTCTGATCTCACCGTCTCCCAGGCTGAGCAAGCCGATGCTGAACACCGACTCTTCCTCCTCCTCGGTCACCTCGTCTCGGTACACGAAGTACATGTTGTTCCCCTCGAACCCCGGGTAGTCCCCAGCATCGACCGACACCGAGTGGCTGGTGCCCAAGAAAAAGATGCGGTCTCTGATGAGGTGGATGTCGTCCACCTCGACGGCCTCCGCGTCCCTGTTCCAGTCTCCTGGGTCGAGCCAGAAGACGCGGAAGCTCTCGATGTCCCTCCCGTCTGCAGTCCTCTTGGAGCACCCCGTAACCAGCAGCAGTTCTCCGGCCGACGGAACCAAGTAGGAGGGTAAACGATTCTGCGGCACGCTGATAGGCATGACATCACATGCGATCATCGTCACCCTCCCCGGCGGGCCTGGATCGACGTCGAAAATCCCCAACATCTCAGTGTCATCGTAGACGGCGCACAGCCTCCTCGTGCCGTAGGGCACGACGTCGACCAAACGGAACAGAAATCGTATTCCGGGGGCAAAGAAATAGAGGTCCAAGATAGGGCCGTTGACGTTCGCCCTCCACGACGGGTCATCTGGTCGGCACGAAAAGCATTTCTTGTGCACATCGTTGAGGAAGACGATGGCCACGAAGTCCCGGTCGAGGGTGGGGTCGGACGACAAGACAGCCTTGTCGACGATGGCGTCGGACTCGACCGGAAGATTGTGGCAGTCCGTCTTGACGGTGTACATTCTGACGCCGTCCTCGGATTGGGCGGACGAGATCAGCACGTCGGCCGGGAGAGTGGAGAGGCTGGGGAGCGAAATCTCTTCGGCGGTGATGGGGTTGAAGAGGGAGACATCGGAGGAAGCCTCGCAGATGAGGATGAGCCACCCGAAGGAGGAGCCAATGCAGAACTTGTTGACGGTGTTAGGGAGCGGGCGAATGCTTCCGGAGTAGGAGGCGGCCGAGAGGCGGAAGGCTGAGCGGATTCTTGGTTCCGAGGGGGAGAGGAGGAGGAGGAAGGGGAGCTGAGTGTGCAGGTGGCTAGGCCGAAGGGGGAGGGCGGAGCGCCACGGCTTGCAGACGGCCCGGAAGCTAAGGTAGTCGGCGGCACTCGTCAGAAAGTGGGAGGTGAGTTTGACGAGCCGGGGAGAAAGCCTTGCCCACATGTCCTCTCTTGGGACTTCGTCGGCTGCGTATCTTTTATTTCTCTTACTCTTCCTCTGTGGTCTCTATATCTGCAACTGGGGCTCCTTCCTTCCTTTTATGTTCTTGGAGTCTTCTTCCTGGGTTAGTAGTTTCTTGAAGGGGAAGATGATCGCGTGTTCTTCCCCCTTCCGTGACAGTTAGGAGGTGGTACGGATAACAAAAGGAGGAAGCAATGATAACGACGATCATGACTTCTGTGTAGACCAATGACGTGGCAAGATGAGTCTCCTCGATAGCACACGGGGCGATGACGACGCTGACTTTTACTTTGACTAGCGACGTGGAAATATAGTGAGTCACGTCATAGCACAATGAATTGACCCTCGATCCAGAGCACACTGAGTCTCAACTTGCCTTGCTAACTAACCTCGACGCCTAAAGAGCACAATGAGAAAGCCAAAGAATACTATGGGTATCTCTCACAATTGGTTGATGCCAGAATGTAAGACGTCAGCAATCTCTGGTTGTTGCCCCCTGCCAAGATTGGGGGCCACCCACCAGGGGATGTCCAACCGGTCCGACAGCCACTCGAGCCCATCCGGCTCAGACGC